ATATATATAGTTTGTTTCAAATGCAACTCATCACATTTGTACAACCAATGCAACCCAATAAATTGAAATATTTATGAAAATGATGAGAGTTCATTTATTATGATTTAAATATTTATGGAATATGAATAAGGTTCATTAATTATGATCAATACTTTATATTAGGAAATAATCAAAACTTTTATGAAATTATATATTCATCAAATTAAATTGACAGTTGAGATTGAGTTGTATTGGTTGTACAAATGTAAAAAGTTGTATAATAACCCACCTCTATATATATATATGTGGATTTTTTATAGTTTTGAGAGTGTGAGATATTATCTGTTTATCAATTTCATAGGATATTTTGTCTTATTAGTAGGACACAACGTTTATCTTGTATTTGAACATGTTTGGCAGTTGGTTATAAGTTAATTTTATAAAGTTCAAATATATTGATATTATATGAATATTCTCGCTTGTGAATATACTAAAGATTGAAATTATGAAATTCAAGTTAAAAAGTCAAAGAAAAACAAAATATCAATATTGGTATCAAATTAGAGAGAAAAAATAAATATTCTTTAATATAAATTTATTAATCAAAAATTAATTTTGTTTAAGATGATTAAAAAAAGAATAAATATGTGAGTTTCCAAAACTTGATCCGCTGATGTAGAAAAAACAATGAGTTTTAGAAACTTTTAGAGTTTCCATTCTTATCTTTTGTAGAATAAGGCAACTAGGAATATTGTAGAGTTAAAAGATCTGTCGTATGCATTATTGATTTATATATCTATATTATATTATAACACATTTGATAAAAATTCTTAAAATACATTAAGTACTGTTTATTGATGTATATTACTTAAAATTTAAGATTACAAGTAAATTATACGTAAATACAATTGATTGGAGCTCTATGTTTGAAATCGTATAGCTAACTACAAATAAAAATAACTAAATAGAGGATAAACATCTCAGATTAAATATAAAAAATCTAAAATATAATTTAGATAATCATTGAGTTCTAATAAAATACTTAAATATTATCTTTATAAAAAATTATATTATTAAACCAAAATTAAAAAAATAAATTAAAAAATTACACAAAAAAGAAGAAAATTTTAAATTATTAGTTTGGTACTAATATCAATATATATTTTTCAAGTTTTTATGATATCTTCATATTTATATTTTATTCAAAAATAAAAACGTTATAGTTTTCTCAAAAACCACATAAAACTGTATTATAACATCGACTGAGAAAAATAAAATAAAACGAAACATTAAAATGGAGATGTATATCGCTGCATTACACGAGTACCCTTCTAATAATACTTCAATATTTTCTTTAAAAATTAAGAGTTCTTAAAAAAAACTAAAATTTTAAGATATAACATAAATAATAAGATGGGGGAAATATTCATTTTTGACCATATGGTTCCGTCTCTTAGTCGTTTCTCTCTCAAAATAATGAAAATAAGCATATGTCCGCAATTGACAGGTCCGCAATTTACGGAGGGATCAAAGTGTAAGGAAAAAAAAGTTTCTGAAACGAATTGAGAGGACCAAATACGTGCATTTGAAAAATCACATTGCAGACATATTTTTGCAGATCTATCTCATATCAGTCGCCACCGCCTCTATCTCATCCATCACCGATCCAACATTGTCATTGCAATAATCTTCACTTCCAATTCATAAGGATCTTCTAAAACCAAGTAAAACATATGTTTTAATTGTACAAAATAGCTTTTCTTCAAACTACAATCAAGTATCAAATTTTCAATTAAATTTCAGGGGAAAACCTCTAAAAAAAACACTCTAGTAACCATTGATTTGGATGGTATGCATATATGCATACAAATAATTAAAGTTGTTTTTTGGTTTTTATGCACATTACATACCGAAAAAATTGATTATAAATTATTTGTATGTACATGTGCATACCCTTCAAATGAATGATTACCAGAATGTTCCTCAATTTTTCATTTTTTGCGGTTTCCCTAAACCTGACCTTATTGATGTATATGAAAATTGTTTTAAAATGTTTTTAAATTAAATTATTTAAATATTTACTTGAAATTTTTTTCATTCATAACTATTATATGATACATATAAAATCATTAAACAATTTTTTTTAGAGACAACTTGTCATATCCAGTTTTAATCGTACCAACCATCAAGCAAACAATTTGTACTGTCGAATTCATTCTAATCATATCTTCAAACCAGATGGTGTCTAAAAATACTTTAAGAATTCTATATATTTTTAGGAGCCTAACTTTAAGGGGGCGTTTGGTTGGGCGGAATCCACCGGAATCTGATAGAATTGGAATGGTCAATTCGTTGACCAAATTCCATTCAAATGTTTGGTTACATAAGGAATGGAATTGAATTCCAAGGATTCCCAAATTTAAGGAATTCATCATTCCTTGGTAAATGTGATGGAATTGAAATCCATTCCACCCATTATTGTTTAAATGACACAAATACCCTTCTACTACTGTTAATAAATGTTTCAAGATATGTTTCAATCTTGGAGTGTTACCAATTGAATTTATGTGTATTCTATTTGTAACGAATTTATCTATTTCAATAAATGGTAAACATTTTTTTCTCATTAAATGTTAATTTATATTGTTACTTGTATTTAAAAAAAATTAAAAAAAATATCAAAGAGAGGGTTGTGGTTAGGGGTGAAATGCCACTCGAACCCAGAGCTAGCTGGTTCCCATTGAATTTCATTCGAAGGAGGAGCCTTATCAAAATCGTATCGATTCTTATCAAAATAGCCCCGTAACTTCGGGGGAAGGGATGCCTCCTCACAAAGGGGTTTTGTCTCTTTTTTCATCATTACATTCCAATTCTGTTGCAAACCAAATAGACATATTTCAATTTATTAGACAGATTAAATTTCATTCCTGCCAACCAAACACTTGATCAAACCTGATAACATTATATTCTAATTCTTTCCAGATTCCAATTTCATTAACAAATTCAATTTCTTAAAAAATTATTCTACGAACCAAACGCTCCTTAAAAATTTACAAGTTTCTTTTGAAACCCCATATGGCCATAACTAAAAACGTGCCAAACCTACACTACTTCAAAATCGGGGGCAAGCACACAAAAATTACATAGCAATTAATACTGCTCCACCACCATATATTTATATATTTTACAACCATCCGATCGTTTTCTTATAATTTTTTAAAATAAAAAAGTAAAAGTCAAATTTTCTATAAAAAAAAAACTATTTAACTTCAACCGTTTTTTATTTAAATACTCAATATTAATTATAATATTATAATATTTAATAATATAAAAAAATCATATTCTCTTTTTGCATTTATTTTTGGATGTTTCTTTAAATTTATAAAAAATTCTTTTTCCTTTCTTTATTTTTTTAAATTTTGGTGAAACTGTTGGAAATGTTCTTATAATACCAAATATTCACTAATTCACGTTTAAATGAGAATTTAATTAAAATATGAGAACCCAAATTAAGATCAGATAAGTCTATCATATTCGTATTCAACCAAAAACTAAATATAACACCCGGATTTTCGATAAGTGGAAACATTATACCATTTCCTTATTTTGGGTGATTTCATATTTGTCGGGCTCTAATTCTATTTAGACATTTGGTTTAAATCATCTACTATTTTAAATGTGTTACACTAAATATAGAGATGATATTTTTGAAATTATGAACAAATCAATGACTCGTTTTAATCATATTTAATATGTGAGAAATGAAAAAAGGGAATCGTTTAGAGTTGCCAATATTCAGAAATTAATAAAATAATTGTTTTTAAAACTAAAAATAATTACCCAATTCTTCTAAAACTAAAATATTCAAAAACTCGTAGTAAAATATTTGAACTATACACAAATTAAGATAAAAATTATATGATATTGTAATATTATTACAATATATATATATATATATATATATAAATATAAAATACAATTATAGCAATATAATAATAATTATAACATAAAAAAAAATAAAAAGTTAATAGGGGGTGTAGGTGTACATATTCCTCTATTTATAATCGTCTGAAAAGCACAAGAATACCATCAAACAACAGAAAAGCTTGAAAAAAAATGGCGATTTCTCCATTTTTCTTCTTATTCCCATCACCATCTTCCTTGTTCGTCACAGCCATGTCCATCTTAAATTTGGTGTCTCTCATCATTGCAGGTTACATGGAAATGAATGGCAAAAACAAGCAGTACGCCAAGTTTTTCGATTCTGCAACTTCCTCCCACAAACCCAAAGACCACCATAAGTTGGCCAGTAGAAATGGAATGCTTCTATTCTATACACCATCATTCATCGTGAGTCTTGCTTCCTTCGCCATTTTCCCCTTTCGAGATGCTCGATTTCTCATGGTTGCTCGTCTTCTTACCCTCCATTTCTTCAAAAGGATCCTCGAGGTATATAATTAAAACAATCAAGTCTGAATCCTGCTACGATCAGTTTTAGTTTCAGACTGTTTGGTAATCAGTTTAATTTGCAGGTTCTGTTTGTTCACAAATTTAGTGGTTTCATGATGCTTAATGCTGCAATAACCATCGGGTTAAGCTACGCTGTGTCGACCGCTACGATGATTTACGCTCAAAGTTTATCTCAAGGATTTGCCGAGCCTTCTGTTGATCTGAAATACGTTGGTGTGGGCATGTTCTTGGTTGGATTAAGTGGGAACTTTTACCATCATTATCTGCTATCAAATCTGAGGAAGAAGGGGGAGCGAGAGTATAAGATCCCGAAAGGAGGATTATTTGATGTGGTAATATGCCCACATTATTTGTTTGAGATAATAGGGTTCATTGGAGTCGCTTGCGTTTCTCAAACACCATTTGCGTTTTCTTTCGCTCTTGGCACAACATTCCTGTTGATGGGGCGAAGCCATGCCACACGAAATTGGTACATTTCCAAGTTTGGTCAAGAGTTTCACAAGGATATCAAGGCTATAATCCCGTACCTTTTTTAGATATAGAGAGAGAGAATTGGGATCACGTGAGATTAGACTGTTTTGTGATATCTGTGAGACCACATTTTTACACTTGAAATTTCACAGCAAAACACTATGAAAGTTGTTGTGAAGGTTCAGATTTTTTTTACCTTCACAATATTTTGCTATGAAGTTTCAGTTGTAAAATTATGGTCTCAAGGTCTAAAAAAGTGGATGGTACCACAAGAAGAATTTGCCTTTTGTTCTATTCATCATTTGTGAAATTGTCCGCTTGTATTTGAAATTATGAAATATCCATTTTGCTGTCATTGTTGAGGAATATGATCATGTCTATAAAAATTGATCGTGAGTTTGAGTTTCTTAAAGTAAAAATAAAATCTTCAAAAAGAATTACATTCAATTTCAATAGGATTTTCCATTTTTAAAACTATACAAATTGATTATACCATACCAACATTCAATTCATTTAGTACCCAATAAATTTTCAATTTTTTTAATAAAAATAGTTATTTTATGTTCTCTCTCCAAAAAAAAATAATAAATGGTATATTTTTTCGTATCTGTTCTTAATTTCTTCAAATTTTGTTGAAAACATACAAAATGAAGGATATATATATATATATATATACTAGAAGCGTACTCGCGCAATGCAGCGAGATACATCATGATTTTAATATTTCATTTTATTCTTTATCTCAGTCGATCTTATAATATGACTTTATGTGATTTTGAGAAAGAGATGATGTTTTTATTCTTGAATAAAATATATGTTTGAAGATATCATAAAATTTAACAAAAATATGTCGATATTAGTATCAAATTAACTATTTGAAATTCCACATTTTTTGTGTAATTTTTTAATTCAATTTTTTTATAATTTAATTTATGTACAGTAACGAAATAATTTATATTTGGTTTAATAATATAATTTTTTATAAAGATAATAATTATTTATTTTGTTGGAACTCGATAATT